AATTCCAGCCATGGTTCGCTTAATAATGATGAGATGGATCGTGGTTTCCGAGAAAAATATCCTTCAGTTTTACTTCGGGATTTTGTTTCACACACGATTGTTGCTAAGAGTTCGTCTCGTTCTTCCAATCAGACTCCAGGTACTCCGTATCCCCTAGCACATTATATAAATTGTAACACTTTCTCTGTGAATTATCGGAATTTTATTGCAGCAATTGTTCAAAAAAGGATCCAACGTCTTTCAAAGAAGCTATGAAGTATGATGGGTGGCGCAAATCCATGAAAGAAGAAATTCGAGCTCTAGAAGACAATGGCACATGGACCTTGGAATATCTTCCCCCGGGAAAGAAGGCTCTTGGGAGCCAATGGGTCTACAAGACCAAGTTTTTGTCTAATGGGAATGTTGAGCGTCTCAAGTCTCGCTTGTTTGTATTTGGTAATCATCAGAGAGCAGGCATTGATTATGATGAGACATTTGCTCCGGTGGCCAAAATGACAACAGTTAGAACTGTTCTTGCCATAGCAGCTTCGAAAAATTGGGAACTCCATCAAATGGATGTTCACAATGCATTTCTACATGATGACCTTGATGAGGAGGTATACATGAAGCTACCTTCTGGGTTTGAAAGTAAGGATCCCAACTTGGTTTGCAGATTACGCAAGTCTCTATATGGATTGAAGCAAGCTCCCAGATGTTGGTTCACAAAGCTTGTCAAGGCTTTGAAACAGTATGGTTTCCTACAATCTTACTCTGATTATTCATTATTTACATACACTAAGACTAACATTCAAATAAATGTCTTAGTATATGTCGATGATCTCATTATTTCTGGGCATAATTCCGCTGCACTTACTGTTTTTAAAGCCTATCTTAGTGATTGTTTTAAGATGAAGGACCTTGGTCCTTTGAAATATTTTTTGGGCATCGAGGTTGCTCGTAGCTCTGCAGGCTTATTTTTATGTCAAAGAAAATATACTTTGGATATCATCTCTGAAGCAGGTTTATTGGGTGCAAAGCCGAGTGGGTTTTCGATGGAACAAAATCACAAGCTCGGCCTAGCAAGTGGTGCGCCACTTTCGGATCCATAGCAGTATAGAAGGCTGGTTGGTCGTCTGATATACCTTGCAGTAACACGACCTGACTTAGCCTATTTAGTTCACATACTATCTCAATTTATGCAAGAACCCCGTGGTGAACATTGGGAAGCGGCATTGAGAGTAGTGCGCTATTTAAAGGGCACTCCGGGGCAGGGTATTCTTTTGAGCTCTGATTGTGACTTAAATCTGCAAGGTTGGTGTGACTCAGATTGAGCCGCCTGTCCTCTTACACGGAGGTCTTTGTCTGGGTGGCTAGTGTTTCTTGGCAAGTCACCTATTTCATGGAAAACTAAAAAGCAGCATACAGTGTCAACATCATCGGCAGAAGCCGAATACAGGTCCATGGCAGCTATTACTTGTGAACTTAAATGGTTAAAAGCTTTACTGTTGAGTCTAGGTATTCAGCATCCGAAGGCAATTAAATTATTTTGTGATAGTGAGTCAGCTCTGCACATAGCTAAGAACCCGGTTTTTCATGAACGAACGAAGCACATTGAAGTCAATTGTCACTTTGTTCGAGATGCAATTACTGAAGGCTTGATCTCTCCCTCTCATGTTCCAACCAACTCACAGCTTGCGGATATCTTCACCAAGACTCTCAACAAATCTCAGTTTGATTACTTTCTTTCCAAGTTGGGCGTTTTCAACCCTCACGCTCCAACTTGGGGGGGAGGGGATAATGAGATATCGTATAATATATTTTTGTGAGGATATCTTTTGGTAAATATTATCTATTGTATTTTAGTTAACTTCCTAGGATTCTAGCATATCTTTTGATTCTATTGTTAGGAGGTGTAACTATTATATACTTGACATTATGGTCAATGAGAAATTCAAGCCATTCAATTCTATTTTCTATCTAATTTATCATATTTGCATATTGCATTGCACTTGTTTGATCGTCAATAACATAATGGAAAGTGAAACTTCAAGAAAGTCTCCCCCCCACCCCCACCCCCCCCCCCAAAAAAAAAAAAAAAAAAAAAAAAAAAAAAAAAAAAACCTAGCCTATCCGAAACCTTAAATTAGTTAAAAAACTCGTAGAAAGTCAAAACATTATCCACATACAACAATTCCATCCAAGCAAATCTTCGCACTTCTTGAAATGCAAATTAAATTTATTTATTTATTTTTTCCAAATAATGAAACTTCACATAAATTACTATGTCCTTCATCTAATAAAGAACACTAAAAAGTTAATTCTTTCATGATTCATCATTTTCATGTTGCTTTCATTTCCCCCGCTTGTGTAAGATTGAGAAAGACTTCCTAAGAAGGTTTATGACTTTTTAGGGTTACAAGACACCGATGATTTTTTTTTTTTTTTCCCTTTTGACAACACACCAATGATATTTACAGCATAATAAAAACATATATATAATTTCATATTATACACTCAATTGAATTGCATCCTTTTCGCTAATATGTAAGCTTTGATCAATTATTAAAAACAAAAATTAAAAACAAAAACTATCCAAAGTAGAAGGCTTAGCAAAAACCTGTATTTTCCACAATCTTGCTCAATAAAAATAGTAGTATTCAAGATATGGAAAGTAAAACACCTCTCCCTTATCAGTTATCACAATTACTCCAATTATATAGATAAGAAAATTCATTATGTTAATGTAGTAATGTTCATCTTCAATTCCATTAAAAGGCACCTATCAACTATCACATGCATAATCAAAGTGTAATGTCACGAAAAGGATTTATTAAATGGGTAAAAATGAAACCTACTCCCATTGTAGAATCAAATACTTTATTAATTTATACTTATTTGATGTATGAACCCACCTACCACTCAATAATCTAGAAATAAAATATAGATTTTTAAATTAAAAAGGTGTAACTAAAAAAAATAAGGAAGTAAAAGTTTAGTTTGGTAACATTAATTTAAGTTCGGCAAGAATATAGTAAAGTGAATAAGGTTTAAAAGTTGATTTTAACACACCTATTATAAGAGCACATTTTTCTATTTTCTTCTCACATACTGATGCGGGAGCAATAGTCCAATATGGGTTTTCTTGATTTTTTTTTTAAAAAGCCTACACTATCTTTTAGTTGTTATTAATTATAAGAATTTTTGCCTATGGTTTTACCTTTCACTTGGAAGAATTTTTCCTGGCTTTAAGAGTTTTTGTTATTAGGATATCTATTTGTTTAATTTATTTTTGTTACGATAGATTTAGTAGTTGGTTACAAATATGATTAGGAGATATATTAGGATTAAGATTCTTAATATATTATTCTATCTTATTTTTGAATATAATTATTGGTTTCCTATCTTATTTTTGTACGATTTAATAATGATTAGGATAAATATGGGTGCATATCAATAATGATTTAATAATAATGATTAGATATTTATTTTGGGAATTAATCCTTTTTGATTGTTAATAAAAAATATTATTTGTTGCAACTTGGGATTATCTTCTAGTTGCGACTAGGAAGAGACCCTCTATTATTCTTGCGATAATTAGAGTACTATTCTTTTAATTTTCATGTAATTTCTTTAATTCTTATTAAAATCTGAAGATCCAATGTTATTATAACTTGTGAGCTTTATGAGAGTATTGAGAGATCCACGTCACATACAACCATATTGCGGAATGAAAATTTTGGTATGTATCTCACTGAGAAGTTAGTTACACAGCTAAATAACCATTTCTTCAAGGAAAATAATAACTAACAAATCTAGATTAAGTAGTGTAGCAGGGGAAAAAAAAAAAAAAAGAAAAAAAAAATGAGAGAGAGAGAGAGATGGAAAATTGGAGTGACAAGTGTGCAAATAAGTTTTGTTGACAATAACAAGTATGAGTGGGAGTCAAAAGCTGAAAAATGAATTTGGGCCACAAAGTTGATGTCATAATAAATTTTGTTAAATCTCACATGGATACGCACTTTAGGGTCCACTAAGCCCAGCCATACTTGTTTCAAGGCCTGTATTTGATGATGTGTGTCCAATCAGCTTTGTTGGGTCCCATTCACCCGCGCACCTTCCACCACTTTCTTTCGGTTTTGCTTATGTTTTGTGACTATCTCTGTAACTTAGAAGTTGGAACGATGAATTTGCCTTCCTTCTAGTGCTTGCTAGAAAACTTTTGTTAGCATAATCTCTTTGTTTTGTAGTAAAATTATTAATAACCAAATTTCTTTCTATTTATAATTTATTAAAAGACATTTTCTAACCATATAATTAATTAAAAGATAAGTAATGACCGGTGAAATCACCAATTAACCAAAAATGAGTATTATTATTTTGTATCCTACTCCATAAATTTTATCTATTACTCCACATATATTTTGTTTGCACTAGAATAAGTCATGATTCAAAACTTTTGGGAGACATAGCTTCAATATCAACATTGATGAATTAGCACCAATGACTAGTTCATATAGACAAACCTTTTATCTTAAATAATTACTCAATCTTTTTGTTTTTTAACATCATGAACTCACTTTTTGTGAAAATTTTATGAGCTAAGGGGACAGAGGTAGTAATTCATATATGCATTAAAATGATCTACTGACCTGGTATAATACAAGGGTTCGATTGTACATAAACTCCAAATAAATTTATAGAATCGACACATGTGAATATAGCATGACTTTTTATAGCCCGTTCTAGAATCCAGATACAACTTGCTTCACATACATTATACATAAGCTTATTACATGACCCTCAGGCTTGTTCGTAGCTTTACCTAAAAGTATGACAACCTCCTGACCTCCTCTAGTACCTTCTAAAACATACAATATAATAGGTCCCATTCCAGAACTTTCTGAGACCGTCCATTGCAACCGTTTGATCCCGCAACCAGGACCCACTTAATTACGTGGTAGCCATCCATAACATTTCATCGGACACCCCTAATTTCTATATAAACCAGTCTTCCTTCGCTTAATTACCTCAGGAAAATAACTAATACTCAACAAACACAAATAATTTCAAGCATTATCAAATAATCCTTTTCATCTTTCATATACAAGCTCTCGGTCTCTCTCCTCGAACCTTGGAGAAAAACAATGGCTCCAGAAATAGTAAAGAGCGGAGTTGACTCATCAGTGGGTTACACCACGAAAGCAGTGAGTCAACCCAGAAGAGCCTACGTAACATTTTTAGCAGGAAACGGTGATTATGTGAAAGGAGTAGTTGGATTAATCAAAGGATTAAGAAAAGTAAAGAGTGTTTACCCTTTGATCGTGGCGGTGCTCCCTGATGTTCCTGAGGATCACCGAAGGATATTAGTCTCTCAGGGTTGTATTGTTCGCGAGATCGAACCCATTTACCCGCCTGAAAATAATACCCAATTTGCTCATGCTTATTACGTCGTCAACTATTCTAAGCTCCGAATTTGGGAGGTACTTTCTTTCTTTCTTTTTTCGGACTTGTCCAAAATGATTTTGTGATACACATATACACGTGTCTTTCGATTGGAGTCTTGTATAACACCTGGATTCTCTTTCTTTGTCTAAATCTGATTAGTACACCGTACTACAGACGTTGGTACTAACATAATTAGGTTATACGTTTATATTTAATTTCTTGTTGATATATATGAAATTTATTTGTACGACAGTTTGTGGAGTACGAGAAGCTGATATACTTGGATGGAGATATCCAAGTGTATGAAAACATAGACCATCTATTTGATCTGCCAAATGGGTACTTCTATGCTGTTATGGATTGCTTTTGCGAGGCATCTTGGAGTAAGACCCCTCAATACAAGATCGGATACTGCCAGCAGTGCCCTGAGAAGGTCCACTGGCCCACTGCCGAGCTCGGCCCACCTCCTTCCCTCTACTTCAACGCTGGCTTCTTTGTGTATGAGCCTAGTATTCCTACTTACCATGATCTTCTTAAGACCCTCAAAGAAGTACCCCCTACCTCCTTTGCTGAGCAGGTATTAATTAGTTGTAATTTGAATTAATAAATAGTACGGAGTAACAATCTAAGGCGTTTGTTATTAATAAGAATGATGTTGATGTTGTAGGACTTCTTGAACATGTACTTTAATGACAAATTCAAGCCACTACCAATTGACTACAACTTAGTGTTAGCCTTCCTATGGCGACACCCGGAGAGTGTGGACTTGAACAAGGTGAAGGTGGTGCACTATTGCGCGGCGGGTTCAAAACCATGGAGGTATACAGGGGAGGAAGAGAACATGGACAGGGAAGACATAAAGATGTTGGTGAAGAAATGGTGGGATATCTATCAAGACCCATCTTTGGATTACAACCCTGCTGCTGAATCAACTGCTATTGATATGAAACCTTTTAAAGAAGCTTTGTCTAAAGCTGGTTTTCTTAATTATGTCACTGCTCCTTCTGCGGCTTAAATTAGAGTACTTATTTAATTAAGGGATTTTCTGTTTTTATTAGGGTTTTTTTTTTCTTCTTTATTTTCCTTGACCTAATCGACCAATGAGAGAGAGCTTACTGGTCAATTGGTTTTTTTTTTTTTTTTTTTAATTGTGGGCCTGGGGGAGGGGGTTTAATAGTTTTGAGTGTTTATTTGTTGTTGATAGGTTTTGGAAGTATAGTGAGTTTTATAAATGTATGTGCAGTTTTTGGTTTGTTTCTAATCTTTTTGTAAGAGAAATTAATGTTAATCGAAATAAAGTTCAGAATTGTTTATAAATAATGGAATATCTATAATTACAATACTATAATTATTCAAAACTTTCCTTTTATTCATTTCCCTAATGTAAATTTTATCTTTGGTTGAATATATATTAATTATAACTTCGATTAACATGGTCAAAGCTGTACAATATTACAATTGACTATTACAACTTTAAATTATGAGATAATTATGCTAATTGACAAATTCATTAAACTTAATTGGTATGTAATCAGTAATTTAACTCTTATTTTTTTGAATAGATTGATATCGATCTTGTTGAGCTAGTCATAAGTAGTTTTTGCCAATCTATCACCTGAGATTAACTAATCAACAATCTTTCTATTCTAAACCAATGCAAGATCAATGCAACGAAAGACCAAATCATAGAGATGGAATTAATAAAAAATAAACATGCAGAGATTATTGAAAATTAAAAGTTGTTGTAGGTGACATTACTGACATCTACGATTTGATATCTTTGTCTTTTTACTTATACAACCCCATTGTCCCCAAACGAATGTAGCCATACATTTCTATTTGACTATTAAACATGCATGTTCTAACTTATATATAAGCGGTTGTCGTCCAATAGTATGTCCTACATATTTAACTTCATACAAACATATCCACATACAGTACGTACTAGATTTTCTTTTAATACTACATGCGTGTATGCATGCACATGCTTCACATTTCACTACTACTACTATACTACTGTTGTACCATATGATATGTCGGCACTAGTTAAGTTTCTAGAAAGAAAGATAGCTCACATGCAAGATCAAGTTGTGCCACATTAAAGAAATAGAGGGAGAATGACTAACGAAAATGTGTATTAGATTGGTGATGGGCTACGTATTCCACCTTACCAAGCAATTGGTTTTAGACTTTTAGATAAATAATGCAACCTTACAAGATTAGCTTATATGTGACTGTACTTTCCTCTGGTGTATGTAGTGCGGTCCAATGAAGTTTACCATTGGTAGGATATATACTTTGTGTTCGATGATATAATATATGGTTCGAGATTCAGGTCATCTTCTAATTGATTAAGATATAGGGATCATATCAATATATCATTATATGTATACCTTACTTATAAAAAACAATTTGCAAGTGGCTGGGAAATAATATCTCCTCATGTGTCCAGCTACTAGTATTTTTACTAGTAAGTGCTCCAGCAGCATATCATGCCTTAATGTATAAATATTAATTTCAAGGCAAATGGATTAATTATATATGGACGTCAATCTCAGGTCTCTTATAAATTAGAGCAAATGAGGGTAGTTGATCAGATCATACAGCATTAATTAAAATACAAGCTAAGCGTGCAACAGTAGTTGAATTGAAGGTGACATCCGCGATTTGATCGATAATTTTATATGCAAATCAAATAAATATGAAAATGTAGCCATACAATTTATTTGAACTTTTCAAACTTTATATTAAATATGCCCTATGCTTTTAATTTTATACATTGACGCAGTATATAGTACACTTTTTTTTCCTTTCGTTATTTGGAGGAGGGGAGATATTTTAGAGAAGGTATACAAGACTAGTCTTTTAAAATATGTATGTAGATAAAAAACAACCTGGATATGGCACTCCGATCAAATTCTTTGTCGAGTGGATAGTTGTTTGTATTGATTTTGGTTCGGGTTCAGTCATATTCAGTTCTATTGTTGATAAGTTCATTATGATAAAAGCTATTATTATTAGTTATTAATTATTGTTTGCTTGTTTGTTCATTTCATGCAAATAGATTGGATAAATGCATTATTATTGCAGAAACGCCAAAAGCCCTTCACAAGTTTCAAATATGAGTCTTGATTGGCCACGGGCGTCACTGACAAAGAGTCTATTTCACAAGTCCAAAGAGCCTCCATCCTAAAATCATATGAGAATATCCGAATATGGCAATAGAAGGAGTACCTTTAACCTCATAGAATAGTGTTTAACTTTTTTTTAAATCAATGTGAGACACTCACATGTGTTCGTATTTGGAAAAGCTATACTTCAACACTTTATGTCCTCACATGTAAGTTCCCTTTTAATTCGGTATTAGCCTATCAGGTGATGCTTCATGGGCCATAGTGCATATTCACATCCTCTAACATGGATCCAATTCAATATGGCCCAAAATACATTAAACTCATTAAAAATCCAAAGCAAGTTCACTTTAGAACTACTATGTATATATTGATTATTGAACATATATTTTTTTTTGGAAAACATATATTGAACATATATAAGTTATAACTAATATGTATATATTGAACATTACCGGTGTATATTATTCATTTTTGTAATTTTGTTAAATACGATTTCACGTGAGATCTTATTCGAGATAATACTGAGACTACACTAGTACGACGGACGACCACATACTATGTCGGCACTAAATGTCAAGAAATAGTATTACTCGCACCTTGCACTCTTTTAGTAATAGCATGCATTGAAGACTTTTCAATTTAAAAATTAAAGTAGCTAAGCTAGGTGGGTTCCATTGAATGCATTAGATCAATAATTTTGAGCGTGCAAAGGTAATGGAGTGAGGACGAGTAGGGTTTGTTATTTGGTTTATTTAGGTAACATATTACTACTAACAATTTTTTATGAAGATCATCAAAGACAAGGACACTAAAAAATACTTATTACTTTATTAAACAAATACTCGTAGCAATCAATCTCATGTCTCGAACTTACACTACAGGAAGCAAATGACAAACTGTCACTGAACAACATAAGCTATGAAAAACTAGCAACGTAAACTTAACAACAAAAGTGGCATAAAATGCTAGTGTAAACCCAACTATCCTCGTTCTAAATGTGAACCGGGAAGGTCTAGTCATTTAAACCTGGCAGTACAACAAGACAATTGAGGAGTTTAGATACAAGTCTTACAGTAATCAGTAATGAGAGTCAATCACACGTATTGCAGCTTACCTTGCTAGCTATGTTGTTGGACAGCCAGTCCAGACCTTCATACAGACCTTCACCTGATGTTGCACATGTACTCTGGATATACCTGTTGCAGTAGTTGGATTTGCTCAGTACAAAGAAGTAAGGAAATCATTTGATTAAGTGGGAGTGAAGAAAGGGAAGAGTAGTGCGGCATTTACCAGTGTCGTTGATGGAGGGAATGGAGACCAAGCTTGTCGGTAATTTCTGCAGCATTCATTGCATTGGGGAGATCCTGCTTGTTAGCGAACACTAGCAGAACTGCATCCCTTAGTTCATCCTGCAAAAAGAGATTTAATCAGTTCAGAAATCATTGCATTACAGTGCAGTGCATTGTCCATCAGTACCAGAGAGTAACTACCTCATTCAGCATCCGGTGAAGTTCATCCCTCGCTTCAACTACACGATCTCTATCATTACTGTCAACCACAAAGATGAGACCTTGTGTGTTCTGGAAGTAGTGTCTCCATAAGGGACGAATCTGCAATCCAATATTTCCAGTTAGTTTTTGTCATAAATGTACAAGGAAATTTAAAATAATCCCACAATGAGTCTTCTGGATGCACTGAGTGATGTTCTATCTTTTCAAGATTCACAGTCCAGTGTAAACGAAATACTGTTAAATTATGGAGATGTATACTGCATACACCAGCTTTCATGCAGAAGGAGGTCATAAATATATTACACTCGCACATATTGCAGCATTGAATTGAGAAATGATTAGCATTTTGCTTCACCAATCTGAGCATGACAAATTAGCCACAAACTAAGACAAAACCGTCTTAGGGGAATGCCTGTTTGTATTCTCCAAACCAAATTCCCAATTGTAGCACACCTTTGTAAGTATCAAAATATGCAAATAATATGCACACTAGACATACTTACAGATATATAAGTAAATAAATCAGCAAATTTTGACCACAATCAGAAATATCATAGTCGGAGGTATATATGTGGTAGTCGGGAAGTGCTACTCTATTCCTTCACGAGAGAAATAAGTTTTTCGTTCTGCTTTCTATCAGAGGATTGGCTTCCAAACACCAATACAGAAAAATTGTTTGAATTTCATAGTTTATCCAGGCAAAACAGTTCTATAAATATTGGCTTACTATAAAAATAAAAATACATATTCATATCAACTAATCTAAGTGCATATACCTTGTCCTGACCTCCAACATCCCACACAGTGAAGCTGATGTTCTTGTACTCAACAGTCTCCACATTAAATCCTGTTAAACACACAGAACAAAGAAAATGAGCAGCAAATCCATCAAGATTCCACCTCATTCAATAATCATTACCTTTAAAACGCAATGAAGATGTACATACCAATGGTGGGGATGGTGGTGACAATTTCTCCCAACTTGAGCTTATACAAGATGGTAGTCTTACCAGCCGCATCGAGACCTACCATAAGTATACGCATCTCCTTCTTGGAGAATAGTCCGCTAAATAGCTTGGTGAAAGTAAGCCCCATCTTCGCTTCCTCTCAACTCCAACAATCTAAAATTAGCCTTTTTAATATATGATGTCAAATGGTAAGCTACAAATTTTGAATTGCAAATCATATACAATATAAATTAGAGTATTAGACCCTAAAGTTTCTATTTACAATGAATTTATTAGGGTAGCATAACAAATCATGTGGTGAAACATTTGATTCAATTCAACGAAATGTGGATCAAAATACACTGTATAATACTGATTACATTTTCAAGTTTCAAGTCCATAATTTTGGTTCCCAACACCCAGATCTCAGCCACATTACAAAAGTCTTCCAAATTCTGATTAGAATACTTAATGGCAAAAAAAGACAAAATTTTGTTGCGAATTACACAATTTTAAATCCCAGATTTTAAACTCCATCACACTTTCTACAGCATAAATATAAATCACAAAGATAATTATTCTAGTTCTAGAGGAAAATATAAAGAAATGTACAAATTATTGTATACTAAACTGCAAATTAAGACACAGATTCACAACATACTAGAGGGGAATTAAGAAATCACTATGAAGAATTAAATCGAGCATTAACATCCTATGATTAACAGATCAAGCATTAAAATTCAACTAACATATGGATAGTGCATGAATTATAAAAAATGGGTAAGAGGAAAAGAACCTGAGCAAGGAAGAAACTTGAGACAGAAGAAAGAAATCAGGAAATCTGAAATATAAAGTTAATTTTTGGAATGATGAGGTGTGGAACTGTGGAAGATCTCTCTTGACTCTATTCCCAATTGTATGGGACTTTATTTTAGTTTATTCACCATTTTTGCCTTTTTTTTTATTTGGCCTGCTGCATTTGGACCTATTTTTCATTTAATTTTTGGACTTGCCATCTAGTAAAATAATTTATATGCACTTGGATTCAAGGTATATCAGAGGTATTTTCTGCTTATTTAATATTTTTATTTTAAAATTTTAAAATCAGTAAAAAATAAAAATTAAATGAGGAAAACAAAAAAAAACTACTTTGAGTGTAGTTACCTTTATGTATACCTGAGTGCATATAAAAGGTGTTGGTCATCTAGCTTATTTCCTTTTTTTTCCTCTAATTTAATATTTTAATATTTGTATTGACGTAATCAAGAAATATTTTGTACTGCCGTATTTTGAAAAAATCATACTCCGTATGACAATATAATAATCATTATGTAGTTCTGTTCTTATATATGTGTGTCGCATGCCTTATTCAATTTTGTTAAAGAAGTGCATCACTAATGAAACTATTCACCATATGATTAGGGGTGAGCAAAAATTCAGGGTATCCTTAACCGGAATTGGAAATGGTGCAATTAAAAAAAAAGGAGGAAGCACAAGCTAAATGCCAATCATAATATCTTAATTGCAAACTTTAATCATTGACATTTCAAGAAAGTTAGAAAATTTGGGTAGAGTTACAAAAACTTGGCAGGACTTGTCAATGTTTTGCCCAAAGGCAGATCCCCAAACTTTCTAAACCTTGTTCTGATTTGTCATGTCATGCCGTCCTCCGGACATCCTCTCTGCTTCTTCTCCCCGCTCACCTACGTATCACAGCCATGCCAAGAAGCAATCTTCATTAAGATGCAAAGGCGGAAAAGGTAAATCTGTAGGTGCTAACTAATGAAAGATTTATTACCAGTGCGTACTCTTATGATGTCAGAAACAGGCAGCACTGCACAAATCATTACATTACATCAAGTCAAATTATCATTAAACTTAGAAATATTTCAAGATATACCAAAGAATAATATACCTCTGAATCTGATATACCAGGCAAAACCTCCATGTAGTTCTATAGTCCTAACTGTAATGTAATTCCAAACTAGGCCTTGTCTAGCGCCTCAACATTATACTATGAGCTAAAAGCTGCGTATTGGTTTGTAGCTCGATTGTAGTAGGATAACGACTGAACAACTAATGTGAACATTTACTTTGGTGTGTTTCTTATATGCAAGTATTTGTACAGCAAAAGCTTTTCTCATCTATTCCACATTATTTGTAGGTGAGCTTGCTAGGAGCCCAGAGCAACTATACACTCGGTATCAGTAAGTCTTTGTTATCCTTTGTAAAGTGAGGAAGGCAAGGGCTTTAAGTGAGCAAATTTCCAAAATGGTACAAAAAGCAGATAATCTGAAGTTTCATTTTATATGTTTTTTTTTTTTTTTTTTGTTTCAAGGTTTGTGAGGTTGGGAAGGCAGGTGGCAGAATAAAACTCTAGCTTCATAAAAATATTTCAGCAAGTCTACTAAATCTTACTTTGTATATTTTTAGAGTGACTTTGTCCTGCAAGAAACAAGTATATGGACTTCAAATTTCCCAAAGACATCTTACCGAAAATTTTTCCATCACCAATTTCACCAGTCCTTGCTTCCTGTATTATCAAGTCTACAATTGGATCAACCTGAAACGGTGTAAGAGTGACCTTTAATAAATCATAATAGGGCTTGGAATATGATACGAATACAAACATGGAGAACTTTCAAGATTTACTAATTATGTATGAGGAAAGTTTGTCCCTAAACATTGATGCAAGCCTAGCAAGCAACGCACACTTTCTTGGATATCAAAGCAAAGCTACGGTTTGTTTAGTAGCTTTTCTTGGTATTTAGATTATTTCTTTGATTAGTTTACTTAGATTTTGCTTACAAGTTTTTACTTTTAACTTGAAAGGGTTTTTCTTGGTTTAAGCATTAGGATTCTTTAAAAGTTTTTTTAGTTAAGTTGTTAGAGTTGCTAAAACCGTGTAGCTTGATTTCCAAGCTAAACTAGTATTCTACTTGCAATAGAATTCTAGGACAGATAGAATTTGATCTAGGATTGTATTAGGGCTTTGTCCTAATCTTTCTAAGGTAATTAAACTTATAAATAGGTTGTCCCTAAACATTGATGCAAGCCTAGCAAGCAACGCACACTTTCTTGGATATCAAAGCAAAGCTACGGTTTGTTTAGTAGCTTTTCTTGGTATTTAGATTATTTCTTTGATTAGTTTACTTAGATTTTGCTTACAAGTTTTTACTTTTAACTTGAAAGGGTTTTTCTTGGTTTAAGCATTAGGATTCTTTAAAAGTTTTTTTAGTTAAGTTGTTAGAGTTGCTAAAACCGTGTAGCTTGATTTCCAAGCTAAACTAGTATTCTACTTGCAATAGAATTCTAGGACAGATAGAATTTGATCTAGGATTGTATTAGGGCTTTGTCCTAATCTTTCTAAGGTAATTAAACTTATAAATAGGGCTGTACACACATGCAAATTTCAGATTATGAAATACAGAAAATTGAAGTTAAACACTTTCTTTAATTGATTGTGATCAATTGCTGTTTTAGTTTGTTTTAGTTAAAACATTCGTTTAGAGCTAGTTAATTAGGTGGATTCTTAGTTAATTACTCTTGGTTTTGGTTTAATTCTTGGTGGATTTCCTGTATAGAATTAAGCTTAAACACTTATCCTTGTGTTTGTTGATTTTTGGATCGATAATCACATCAGAATAGATCAATGATATAACAATTAGAAAATTATGTATGTATAGCGGCAAGACATGAGAGAAAATAATTGGATGTTTGAGGTTGGAGGGCAATAAAAGTATACTATTAGCTTTTGACATTAAACACCTGATCTTTGCTGACCACTATTTCCATCTTAACCTTGTTTACAAACTTATCCTCAGAAAATTCAGATCCTGGGAAAAAATAAAAAGTAAAATCAAACCATCAAAATGATGCACAAAGACTGCAAAACAGAGACAGCATTCTCTGAAAATTATATTTTCAGATAAACAAGCATGCACAACACAATATTCAGGGGAATATAAGAGCTACTTTATATGAGGAATATATGTACAGCATCCTTACAACTGAATTACTCTGTCTAGAATTACTAGTCACATATACTAATTAAAAATGCCTGGAATAAGCTGTCATTTTTCCTAAACTGGAAATAATTTCTATGTGGTTTTCTTACTATGCCCCTACACAAGTTAATTGATGGGGAGAGGATGTAGTGACACAACAGTTATAAAGGGACTTCTATATAATCATTTCATATCCATATTTTTTAGGGGTTAGCAAAAAAATGAAAATTATTTCTGGATGAAGGGAGTAAACAACAGCAAACTGTTAAGGTTCATATGAGTGATGCTCATGAGTTTATGATAAACCCATTAAGCTCAGTGTATGCACTTCTGGAGAGAAGGGATACAAATGAGGCCAAAGTGAAATGTTCAAGAAGCAACTTACGAAAAAATGGGATTGTGGTTCATAAAGTGATGGATAATTTAAGTGTCGAAGACACTGGTCAGAACTCACAAGTCCTTTCATACAAAACATTGACCTCAGTATAATTGACTATATGTGGAAGGAAAAATAGATGTGAGTCATGATATTTTTGGCAGGCTATGACTTAATACAATCTCCATGCCATTTGGTTTCTTCTGCTGCTTTACAGCCTAGTTTGAAACAAACAGCATTAATCTGTTAATAAAAAAAATAGGGGATTTACTGTACTTTGAACATCAGAAAGTACTAACCAGCATGTCTTTCTGCAACTCCCCCTTGTGCTCCAAAACCTCGAACATCAGAAACCGTGACACCGCGAATGCCCATCTTCAGCAAAGCCTTAAATCCATCCCAAAAATTAAAGAACAAAAAGTTATAGAATATTAATCCAGAAACAAAAGGCAATGAGTTCCAAACAATAGTAGGCGTCGCCCCAAACTAAAGCATTCAATCATGTTATGCACTCTCACTTAAGAAAGAGTCTGTCACTTGTTGAGGAAAGTAAGGATGATCGGATCAACAATCAATCAATCAATCAAAGCCTTAATCTTATAAAAGCAATGGTCATCGGATCAACAAGAAACACCAAAATAAGTAACCACATAAATGTATATCTCTTCATAAGAAAAGCAATGTAACAAACCAAAAATATAAGAAACTGAGGCATACAAGTACGCATACAATTTACATATGAATGTAGTGGCATCTGGGCATAGTGTATTCACATATGTATCATTTGATTAGAGGCCGATCATATTTTTGGTTATAATGTACGGAGTATGTGGTTATCTCACCATGTTGATTCCCCCAATAACATAGGTGGTGCAACCTAAGCATCTCTTCTATATGGTATGCAACTATGCATGATAGGGAAAAATGAAAACTAACTTCCTCTACTCCTTATTCCACTTCGTCTTTTGAGCAGCTGCCTTTAACAGTATGCATTCCCCATCCTCCCCCCCCCCCCATCCCCACCCCCCGCGCGCGCACGCACACACACACACACAAAAACTAAATAATAAATCTTCTTGGTATGCATTCACCATCTTGCTATTCTAAATTTCTAATATATTTCAATTTAAGTGTCTAATATGTATTTTGGTATTTAAATAGAAGGCATTATAAATCAGCACACACAAGCAAGCGTAGCATTGCAATTATAATTCGCAAAGTTCGATGGGCAGAACATAATAAAGTGTTGAAGATGAGTTCTTACCGCAGAAACCTTGGGGATTCTCCAGGGTCTGTCACCAAAAAGATTCACCAATACAGCAGTACAGCACCAAAGAAAAACACCAAAAAAAAAAAAAAAAAAAAAAAAAAAAGAGAAAAATCAGAAGTGAACATGAATATATACTAAAATACTTCTCAGATACTACATTATCATTAATCAACTATATTTCCCATTTCGTATCGGTCAATGAAATGCGATTGTCATATGCATTCTTTATAAGAATTCAATTAAAATTTTGCAGTAGAATCCATAGCATTGAATTAAAGGGTGTTGCTTAATTTCAATTGTTAATCGAAATAGAGAGATAGTAATTAGTAAAGAAAATGCACCTGAGAATTGCCTCCACTTTGTAAAACTTGGTTTCTGGAACATACTCTAATTGCCAACAAACACGAGAATTAATAAATTGCCCATTTGAAAACCCAAGATAGAATAATTGATAACTACAAACCCAAAAACACAGAGAAATAGTACCTGAAACAGTTTGAGCTCTAATTTGAGGCAAAGTACGCAGCTTTGCTGAACGATTGAAAGTGAGATTGAGATGAAATGGCTGAAAGTGAGCAAATTTGTAGACTTGATCTTTAATTCCAAGGTTGGAGTTCTTGGATGAGAAAGAATGATTGAAGGGTCCTCCACCCACCCCAATTAAAGCAGATTTCGATGTCAAATTTACAGCCATTGTTTGTCTGTTGAGAGCCCAAAAGCACAGGGTTTTGCCTGGGTTAAACAACAGATGCTTGATATGCCTCCGTAGTCCCTAAACTTAAGTGTAAATTAGGTGGTAAGCAACTTAAGGGAATCTCGAATTCAAGCCTCATCAAATGTCGAAAACTTTTGTTCTGAGACTCACCCACCATCTAGGATGTACGGACACTTCATCCAACAGCTGTGTCCGTGTCCGATACCGACACTCGTTCGACACACGACGGACACACATAAAAACTGCATCCGGTTTTTTAATATATTTAGACACTTTGAGACGAATCGTATCCTACTATGATACGATCCGGTTTGCATTTTGATATGTCACCTCATTTTTTTAACTTTTTTAATTAGAAAGTTAAGGTAAAGTATAAGAAAAAGGTAAGAGTTATAATATGAGCGCCTTCAAAACACATTTCATAGCACATTATTGTATGTGAATTAGGAGAATATTATTTAGCTACGGTAAATGACTTATTTTAAGGTTAATTATTTATGTTTTGTTGAATAGGTTGTCAAAATCTCATTTTTTTGATATATATTATTTGTCTTGTTATTTCCCGTACCCGTGTCCCCTATTTTAGTATGCCGTTTTGCCGTGTCCGTATCGTACTCGTGTTCGTGTCCGTGTTCGTATCGGTGCAACCCAGCCCACCATAAGCAGAACATAAAAGTTTACACCTCCTTAAAAAAAATTAAAAAAATTAAAAATTTACTAATTGTAACTCTAAACTGACAACCTCAAAACACCGTATAAATATCAATCCCTTTTCTCCATTCCTTTTCACCTCTCTCTTACAGTCTTACACACACGAGCACGCATGCATTCAAACACGTACCATGGCTCAACCCCGAAGAATCCTCACCACAATAGTTGTAATACACATAATATGCTCTTTAACAAGCACCGAAGCCATCCTCTAGTTGTTGATCTTAACTGAATTACTCCATGCATGTTAATTTGATGTTGATTTGCTTTTTAGTAGATGTGTTAAATATTTTAATTTTTTGTGTTACCAATTATTAGGTGGATGTCTTTATAAAAAGTTAATTGTATCTTCAATTACTATAATAATGATCTAGTGCATCAAAAAAAAATGATCTAGTGCAACTAGTTGTTGTCAAGTTGGCATGTATAGAATTTTCGAAGTAGAGTTAGAGAAGATATGAGGAAGGGCTTGCCATATTGTCATGCAACGGAATTAAATGGAGGATAAGAAATGATTAGATATATATGAACACACAATAAAATTGAAAATCAAATTAGGTTTTATATTACTACTCATTGGATGCGAATTTTGATATGTTAATGCTTAAGGTTTCATTACAACCCACCAAATAGCCATCACAATGTAATTGTAGAACTAAATTAGGTCCACTTAAGGCATTTATAAGGTAATGTCATGGTTAGTCTAATGAATTTAGTCAACTGTGTCATTGATTGCTTATCCTCATGTCAATACAAGTGTAGGAGTGATTTGTATAAAAAATATAAACAGGTGTAGGTGTGATTTCATCTTAAAACGAGCCATTTTTTATTTTTAATTTTAAATAAAGGACGAGTCAATTTTGACTAGTTGTCTTCTAACCCTTTTCTAGTCAAATTAATTTGATATTCCATGCATGATTGGAGTTAACTTTTTTTTTCTTTTTTCAGCATTGAAGTCGGATTAGTTTTTAACAACTCTATTTACTTTTTCTTTATCCTAATATTTTTTTAAGGAAAAAAAAATAAAAGAATAAAGTTAGCTCTCCCCAAAGGCCCAAAAACTAGGGGGGAAAAAAACGAAGATTGAACGTGGTGGTGATCATTTTTGATTTGGTCCTGTTGAGTGTTGTGGTATTGCAAATGGCTCGGGAGAAGGATGGAGAGCAAGAGGAGAAGTACGTTTACAGGATAAGCACCGCCAAAGAATGGGATGATTTCCAGGTTAATGCTCACACTTTTGGTGCCGATCTTGATAAATCTACTGCTTGCTTTCATCTCAGCACTCTTTCTCAGGTTCTTTCTTTTTCAAAACCCCCTTTTTATTTTCCAGGTTTTTGTTAATTATTTCGATAATCTTTGCTTCTTGAACAAATAAATTACTGCCCCATTAAATTATGGGATCAAATTCACAATTTGGGCTTGGAAAAAATCATTTTTTTGTAAGGTTAATCCAGTTTTAATTTTTTTTCTTGTTTAATTGAATTAATTAGCAGTTTAATATAGTAGATGGCTTAATCATTCTCATTATTTATGGCTAAATAGAACTGAATTATGGCCAAAGCTCTAATTTTTTGAAGATTGAATGTTTTGTATGATTGCTTAAGATATACTGTAGCTTTATATTCGCGATAAGATAAAAATGAAGCAATTGGGACATGTGTTATCAGGTACAACCAACCTTGCTAAGATTTTTTACGGACACTGATCAGGAGTTATACCTGCTTCAAGTTGATTCAGACAAGGTGCTTTCAATTCTCTTTCTTACTTTGAGTTGACAGTGTTCATCCAATTCTGCAGTTAGTTGTATTCATTACTCCCAACTCCCAAATTCTGTTCATAATAAGCTATCAAGTTATGTACATATTTCCACTTTCCAGGATTCTTGTACTCTAAGTAGGATAGGCTTTTAGGTGATGCATTTTTAATACTTGGAGAGCACAACCTACAATTGATGATTTAGAATTCTTGTCGAATGTCCAAACTCCGTTAAACTTGATCTTGTTTCCCAGCTTTCTTGGAGATGCTTGTTCCATTAGTCTATTGGCTGAGTACATGGGTTGATCTAATCTTTATGATGGTAAAAGCATAGTCTTCACTGCTTTAATGCTTTCTATATATGGCTATTGATAAGTTGAACAGTGATTACTTATCATACCAGTCGTAGTAGTATATGATACACCGTTACCTCTATGTCTATAAAGAGGCTCTTCTGGGGTGAGGATGGGGGAGGGGTTTATATACACAGCCTTAAATATACATTTATGAGGAAGCTCATTCAGCTGTACATATACAATACATGAAAGTTGTGTTTATGAAACCCTTAATCCAAATGACTGGTGTGCAGCAATGTGGTGTGCTATAGTGAATGCAAATTAAAACTTTTGATTCAATTTGTTGTAGTTCATAGTTAAAATTTGCCCATTATATATTATTATGGAATATGGAATTTAATCTCATTGGTCTTGCTTTCGTTACTTTTCTTTCCTTTGCTCCCTTGTTTAGGAAATGAGGTTTGATCTGGGGTGCATCACTATTCATTCCATCATTGTATAGAAATGAAAGATAAATTTGTCAGTGAGATTTCTTGAATTATTTCAAGTATTCGAAATCTTGGACCTTCTATCTTTTGACAGTGAACAAAATTATCATCAACAGATAGGATATGATGATTGATGAATGTGTTGGTGAACTTAACAGTTCCATGCTTTTGCTGAAATGTAATAATCATATACCAATACGATGATTGGCTGTATACCCTTTTTGTTTTCTGTATCAGTTCCCTTACTGCAGCAATCTTAAGTCTCAACATCTTTTTGCAGCTTGGGGATGGATTGATATATGAGCTTGTGGAGGGAACCCATTGGTTCCCACATTTCTACGGGCCATCACGTAGTTTTGCTCCTCTTCCTCTTGATGCTGTCACAAGGGCAGAAAAGATCACATTCTCAAATGGCAAGTTCACGTGCAGTTTGCTTGATTGAGAGGTTCTGCAGAGAGGGCATCCTACAACTCATTGCTATCAGAACCTTCTGTTTATTAGATTAAAGTTATATGAATATGAATTTCTGCCTCTGAACATCAGATCATCTCTGCTTATCATTCATTTCTGTATGGAGAAACTTTGAACTAGTACTTGGTACTATTTATTTTAACTCTTCCCTGAAACGTTCAAGATCACTCCATTCTGTAAAACTTCTTGCTATTTGTATTTCGGGACAGCTTATACGACACCTTTTTTCAAGTAGAAACTATGAATGTTTTTGTTGACCAAGTATTTTCCTCATTTTTGCTCTTAAGCACCACCTAGAAAATATTTGCAACTTTAGAAGTTCTGTTGACAGTTGTGTTTGTTTCTGGCAGACTTAAATTACAACATGCGGGGATAGCTCAGTTGGGAGAGCGTCAGACTGAAGATCTGAAGGTCGCGTGTTCGATCCACGCTCACCGCACTCTCTTTTTCTTTTTCTAATCCCCACTAATATAACTCCTTGCTAAACTACTATATTTATACTACTATTGGCCTGACTCTGGCTATCACACTCATCAGTCCATATAGTAGAATTGCACTATGATTCCTATTTTAAAATTTGAAACACCCAACCATGCTATATACACATGCTATAAAACAAAAAAAAAAAGAAGGATGTTTGAGGATGAAATTAATCAATTTGACACTCAACCCATTAACTTTTCTTCATGCAAATGAGTGTCTATTACATAATGCAGCCAGTTCAGTAACTAATCCACATTATGCCACAGGACAAGGGACTTGATTGATGAGGAGGTGTCCCATGGCGCACTATATGCTTAGCATTGAACAATATTGAGCTTCCAATCACCCTTTGTGCATCAAAACTAACCTAAAAGCCTTTTGCTCAAAAGATCCGTTTCTCTAAGGAATGAAATTAGCTTTCTGGGTGAGTCATCTACAACTGATTTAATCGAATATATTTTCTTGCACAAAGTATATTATACTCTTTCCGTCCATAGTAATTGTTGTATAGTCTCAATCCATCAACTTTAAGTATTTGGTTTTTATATATTAAACATGATTTTGCTAACATGTACTTTGTGTTTATTGCACCCTTCTCTCCCTCATTCCAAATGAAATTATCATATGAAATCCAAGCATGATATATTACTAATTTATCACAAATGTGTCAAATTTTCCAAGTACTCCAGACTAGTAAATGTGATGACTGATGAGTGACAAAGTATCTGAACACTTAAAACTGGAAACTGTGACAATTATTACTGGATGAGGGGGGAAATCCAAACTTCTTGTCAGAAAATCTGAACTTGGGTCTTGAACAATGTAGAGGATGTTGATTTCAGATCCACTGCACATGGCCTTTAAGTAGGTAACCCCCAGAACTTGCAGATATTAGTGTTCATAGAATATTGATGATGGACTAGAGCCTGTGGAAGAAAGCAGCCGGAGATTAACGATGTTTGGTTGGGAGTAAACATTATTCCATAGACATGATTTTACTCATTTTAGTATTGATCATTACTAAATTTAATTTCTGGAATAAGCTCTCTGCCTATGAAATGCAGGCTAGAGTGTACGTAAGCTGCTAATTCACTGTATAAGACAAAATATCTGCCTAGGAGTAGAAGGGGAAGCTAAATTATGAAAATATTTGATGCCAAAGTTTGGATCTTAGCAGATGATATGATAGTGAAGTTTAATCATGTCAGTAATTGTCCAACCTAAGTTTAGTTTTCTTTTTTCATTATATTCTCAATGATATGGGTTCAAATAGTCCAAGAGCAAAGTCACCAGAAAGATTACTGTATGGTAACTCTCAACTGAAAAATGAAATGTGAGGCCACAAGGAAAGGCATTTACGTAGAGAGGTAATGTTGATACTCAAAATCCATCCTTTAATTTACCTTGTTTTGCTCCTACTTGCAGCAAAAGGTTGTATACATCATACTTGAGTCATCTTTTTCACCTTAAAAATGTATTGTTTAAGGAAAACTTTAATGCAGATTAAGATTAATAAAGTTAATAAGATAACAATAAGTTCAGTTATGGATCAGTTTGAAACAAAAACTAATACATAATGCAATTTCATGTATAAGAAAGATGGGTTAAGATGGAACCTAGTTTGGACTTACCGTCTTTCTTCATGGTTTATTAGTGGTTACACATGGTCTGTTTCTGCTCTAGATTCTCCTTGAATTATGTTTAGGATAAATGGAAATACACTTCATAATCGAGTATTTTTGTATATTCTACTTTTAGCGGCATACGGCGAGGACAATCATAGCAGGTAAGAAGGGAATCAATTATACCAAACCAAAATAATGCAGATCAAGGACAAGCTTGAAAGTTGAAAGTGATAACTCTCTTAAAGGCTAAAGCATTCCACAAGTTTTGTTGGATTCATTGGTGGTAGTCCATTAATAGTCTGATTCCATCATTGAGTTTACTAATCATAAGACCATTAAAATGGTGACAACAGCAAGTTAATAATAAAGTATGCAAAATTTTCTAATGCAGAAAGTGTGTATAATGCATTTATTATGAATGATGGCCTAAATTTTGTGTCCTTCATTATCAGAATGATTGCCTCAGCCTTGTGGGGCGTCCCTTCTTTTGATTGTCTCTTCTGCAATTACTTTGATAAGTCACCTTAAACAAATTAATCTCTATTTTATAAATCTAATCATTGGTTTACTACTTTTTTGATATTCTGGTGTGTGGCTGTCAGAATTATTTGGTTATCTGCTTGTGCTAGGTTCTTGTAGTTTTCTTCACCCTGTATTCAGAAAAACAAAAGAACCTTCGTATTATTAGAAAAAGGATTGAAGATTCTCTGATTATACAATTACTAGGTTGTTTGTAACCTATGAAGCTTTCTGAAAAGATTGTTTGATGTCAATTTTTCTAACCTATCTTAATCATAGGTTGCGGGGATAGCTCAGTTGGGAGAGCGTCAGACTGAAGATCTGAAGGTCGCGTGTTCGATCCACGCTCACCGCATTCTATCTACCTTTTAATTCTAATCCAATCTCTGGTTGTTAGGTTTAATTATTGGTCTACTACTTTTGTATGAGATTCCAATGTCTGGTTGTCAGCATTATTTGGATTTTGCTGGTTTTTGGAGGTTTGCTCATTCTGTATTCAGGAATGTTGAAGGACCTTTGTATTAATTACTACATGTTTGGGTCCAATTTAGTCCAATTGGGCCTGGTCACTGAATGATCCAATTAAAAGCCCAAGGTTAAGGTTCAACTCTCCAAATGTGCTAAAGTCAAAAATCAACATCCTCAAAGCCATGTCAAGGTCAGTCAACGGCCCAATCAGCTTGGCCCAGCCCAACTGACTTCCGGGCCCAATCCGCCTCCTTCATTAGCCAAGGTATAAAAGCCAACAATTTGGTCAATTCTTGGTAAGACAAAAAAGCCTCAAGCAACTAAACTCTTGCACAGCTTTCTCTCTCTAATATACTGACTTAAGCATCGGAGGGGCCTTCCTCGGCGTCCCCCCCGAGGCTAGTTTACGTGTATTTGTTGTGCAGGAAACCCTCGGCTCCTGCGTCGTTCGGACCGAGACCAAGTTCCCTCAAGATAAAAGGATCTTCCGAGATTCGATTGTTTTCATCCGAAACAATTTGGCGCCGTCTGTGGGGAACGCTACTAAATTTCGCGTCAGTCATCAAACACTCCGGCAGTCGCCATGACTAAGAGTGGAAAGAGTTCCAAGAAGGCTAAGAAGGGAGGAGGCCGGATTACGGTGAGGGAACGCCAGCCGGTTTATCCCTCCCCGGAGCAAGCCTCTTCCGAATCGGAGGCCCCCATTTCTCCGGAAAGGGAAGCCTCAAGAGGTCCTAGCCTCCAGGAGGAGAACACCTCGCACCACACTCGGCAGCCGGGGCCATCCCCGAGACCGAGTGGCTCAGGTGCGAGGAACTCCCCGCCGCGCCATAGCGTGCAATCCAGGTCACATCCGCGGGAGACTCCTCCCTCCGGACCCTCCACCGAGGAAGTGGCCAGAGCAGTGGCCATCTGCATGGAGTTCCTTAAAGCTCAAGGGGCTCCAATCCAGATGCCTGATGATCACCAGCCGAGAAACCTGAAAAGGAGGATCGGTCAGGATGATGGTGGACAAGTTCCACCACATAGACAGCTCGGCCAGAGGTAGCGAGGGGACACCCGAAACTCCAGTAAGGAGAGGAGGAGGAACCCTCAACCCTCTGACCACTCTGAAGCTCAGAATTCCATGGGGCCCTCCAAGGACCCGGAATTCGCCCGCCAAAGCGTTCACGAACGCTTGGGTTCGAGGGAGGTGAGTGTGCATAGCCGCCTCACCTTCCCAGAGGATACCGGACCCCACCCAACCTTGTCTCAGCCGGGGACGAAAACCACTTCCACCTCTGAGAGAGGAGGGAGCGAGGTCCCTGAGGCCGGGTACAAGGGGAAGGCGGTCATGGTTCCATCGAACTCGCCCTTCCAGAAGTGGATTCTGGAAGAGCATGTGCCAACGGTCAAAATCCCGGCACATATTACTTACGATGGTACCTCAGATCCTAAGGATCACATTGCCTCTTACGAGGGGCACATGTATCTGAACCCGAGGTCTGAGGCTACCTGGTGTAAATACTTTCCTACGACCCTCAAAGGTGTTGCCCAATCCTGGATCACCAAAGGGCTCAAGGAAGGCTCCATAACCGGTTGGAACGACCTCTCCAACAAGTTCAAGAGCAAATTCTCTACGGCCAACCGCCGAGAGAAGACCACTGCAGAGCTAATGAGTCTGCAGCAGGCGGAGGACGAGAGCCTCCGCGACTATCTGACTCGCTTCAGCAACGAGTCATCCGGAATCACAAGCCTGGATCAAGGCCTGGCCGTGTTCGCGCTACGGAACGGCCTCCAAGCTGGAAAGTTCCTGGACTTCATGGTCATGCATCCCCCGCAGACCCTGGAGGAAGCCTTGGAAGCATCGGATAGGTTCATCCGAGCCGAGGAGTGGAACAGATCCAGGTCTCAGTCTCGTCCGAGAATTGAGAAGCCGAAAGGGCAGCAGCCCGAAGTCTCGGCGCAGAGGAAAGGGAAGGCTAAGGCCTCAGAACCGTCCTCTGCTGCCGAGCCGAAGAAGGAAAGACACTTTCCCTACACGGGAAGGTACGATTCATACACTCCACTCTCCCTTCCCCGTGCTAAGATTTTCAGCACGACGAAGGACGAGGGGAGATTCAAAAAACCTCGTCCGTTGCCTCCCTGGCATCAGACGAGGGGAAAGGACCAGTGGTGCGAGTTCCATGACTCACCCGGACATCGCACCGAGGACTGCGTCCAGCTGAAGGACCAGATTGAGGATCTGGTCCGCAAGGGGTACCTGAGCCAATACCTCGCGGACAGGCGCGAGGAGAAAAAAGCTGAAAAAGATTCTCGGCAGGACCTCAACTTCGCTCGGAAGAAGGATAAGGGACCTCAGGGCAAGGAGTCCCTCGACATCCTAGTTATTTCCGGGGGAATCTCGCGAGGCACAGCCAAACGCCAACTGAGGGGTTTAACCCATCAGATTCATCAGGCTGAGCTTCGGCAGTCCCAGTCACCGGCGCCGAACATCCTGTTCACAGCCGAAGACTGTGAGGGGGTGGTATACCCCCACGATGACCCACTAGTA